GCAATTCTCTTCATGCAGTCTCGCATTTTCCCACCTGAATTTTCTTTTCCAAAATTATACTCTTTCAGAGATAATAAACAACCAAGTTCGAGTAAAATATCAATTGCCAAAATTTTTACTTTTTAAAATATGAGAAATAAGCAATACTCAAGAGTAAAATCTGTGAAAGGGCTCAAAATTCTGGGTCAAGTAGGAAGTCTGCCCACTATACTCTAAAATCCACCAGGGGGTTGGTATTTTTCTTTTTCTTTTTTTTTTTTTTAAGATTTACTTTATTGGAAAGGTAGATATACAGAAAGGAGCAGAGACAGGAAAATCTTGCATCTGATGATTCACTCCCCAAGCAACAGCAATGGCAGGAGCTGAGACAATCCGAAGCCAGGATCATGAAGCCTCTTACTCCTGGTCTCCCATGTGGGTGCAGGGTCCCAGGGCTTTGGGCCATCCTCGACTGCTTTCCTTGGCCACAAGCAGGGAGCTGGTTGGGAAGCAGTGGTCTGGGATTAGAACCAGTGCCCATCTGGGATCCTGGTGCATGTAAGGCTAGGACTTTAGCTGTTAGGCTATTGTGCCAGGCTTGAGTTATTTTTCTTTGTTTTTAAGCAAAATGCCAGTTGAAGGAAAGAAAGGTAAAGGACAGGCTCTTTGCATGCCTTGACATGTCAGCCTCTTGTCACTTGCTGGCTCCAACTGCACAATCCAGTCATCCTGAAATGAGTATGGGGGATTCTGGAGAATCACGGACAGGACACAGACTTTGCAATAAGATAGATGCACTCACATTGCATCCATCTCAACCCCACTACTTAATAGTGACATGATGATGGGTGCCATTAAATTCCTGGAGCTTCAGATTTTTAATGTGCCAAACATCTGATGATGACGCAGTGATTGCTCCACAGTCTTCTGGTGGAGACTGCAGGGAGCTAGAGCATGGTCAGTGCTACTGTTTCACCTGATTGCAGTTAACATGGGAGTTAACATGTCCTTTTCCGGTTCTAAACTTTGCCCATGCTCATCCTCTACCAGTGACAGTCTCACTTTCTCTAATTCAGGGTTGAGATCAACTCTTCCAAGAAATGTTTCCTGATATTTTTCATTTGTCTAACCATTTCTTTTTCTGCAACTCTTTATACCCTTTGTTCTGCTCTACTGCAATTATCCTGGGGAAGCACTGTTAGGATTATGCTTCATTTATTTTTATACTCTTTGTGTTGAATGTAGTGTATCGCATATCAATAGTTGTTTGATATTGACTATCTTGATTTCAACGATTGAATGCGCAGGCGAAAGGGCCTCAACAAAGCTGCAACAGCTCAGAAGCTTACAGGTAATGAGAAATACTAAGGACCACATCATGTTTTTGTATGCTTTATTTCCGATAGCTGCTCCTTTATTACTCATTTTTTCCCCATGATACTTTCTAGCTTTTTTTTTTTTTTCTTTCAGAGGCAATGAGTTATTTCTGGGACTTTGGTGGCCTGTGGTCTTGATCTTTCTAGTGCCTTAAGTCAGCTATCCACTACCAGGGTCAGTGGGTCAGTGACTTGCTGCATAGGAACCACTGTTAAATGGAAGCTTGATGTACAGATAGACTCCCAGACTTTGCTCTGGACCATCTGTATCTGAATCTGCATTTTAACAAGTCCAGTTCAAATGGGCAATAAAAAGTAAGGAATACTATATTACGAGCAGGTGTCTGTGCAAATAGTGTATCCCCTGAATTTTCTGCTATATACATTTACCCATTAAAATACAGGAACGTGTACTGGCCATTGCAAGAGAATGAAGCACTGTACTGGTATGTTGATAATGATTAATATATGTTAAAACCAAGAAGCAATTATCTGACCAAGGAACATCTAAGGACACATTCTATAATCATTCAAATATTTAGAAAGGGTTCAAATAGATGAGAAATTTTTTTTTAGCTTAATGTCTCTATCTGCTGCCTGGGAATAAAATGATTCTCTATTCAATGAGAGATCATGTCTTTTGAAAGACGTCCACTGTCCCATCATGGCAAACACATTTTGCATTTGGTAGCAGTTGGGTGACCTTCGCGCGGATTTCAAAAGCCATGCCTTGGTTTGTGCTTTCCGTTCCCAGTGGCAAAGCAAGTATTTGCTCTTAGCACAGTGGATGCCCAAGCACTTGGCAAATGTTTCCACAAAGCCAGCTGCCTTTTACAGATCCCCACTGGGAACTTTTCTTTTAGCTTCTAACTCTCCATGCTTATAAACCCTTAGTTGTGAATATTTGTTACATGAGAAGAGCTCATGAATCTTCAACCTTTTTTGAGGATGATAACGAAGTTCACTCTAGTTAGAAAAATTCTTTGATCTATGCTATGCTGTCTCCTGCAGCTGATCTTTCTGCTTGATGCGGAGAAGGATCCTCCCCAGCAACAAAGCTGTGGTTTATGATCTTGGAAGAAAATTCCAACAACGTTCATTTCTCATTTGAACACATCAGTAGAGTTTGGAAGCATTTTGGGGAGGACTACTGACTCATTTTATGGCCACAGAGACTTTTGTGTTTCCTTTGCTTTAGCACTAGATCGGTAATGATTTCTCCTTGAGTTTCTGTTTTATTTACTACAGTACCATATTCTCTCTTCCTTTTTCTTTCTTTCTTCTTCTTTTTAAAACAGAGTCTCTGAATGTGTTGAATGGCCAACCAGCCTTTATCGCCGTGTGCTAAATGAGTGTGGTCAAGCACAACTGTTGAGACAAAACTGCCAGTGACAAAGACCCGCTACTGAGATGCAGTGGTTGTCCAAAGGGCCTGACTGTGCATTGAGTGTTTACTCTTCACACAACCAATAGGTGGCTCGAGTTGCAGACTTGTGTGTGTGCACGCATGTGTGTGCATGCCTGTGCGCGTGAACAGAACAAAAACTTGAGCCCTCCAGCACATACCACCTGTTTTCACATCAATGCTGTTACAAAAGGTTTTTTCTTCCTTTAATTAGCTGAGCTGTCCTATTTTTTCTGGTAACCTGCCTCTTCTCTAACATATGGGCTGTAACCGTATTTCTTTTCATTAGACGCAAGCCTTGTTTGTCATTTATACCATACTTTTGCTTTTCTCTTTCATTTGTAATGAAAGAGAGGTTTTTTTCTATTATTTTAGAGCAAAGCACCTCTGGTTTATGTGGCGACTCTTGTGGCTTTCTAAATGCACTTGATTTAGCTTTCAATGTGTAATTACTGCCAAACAAGTTAATTGCTTTGTAAGTGTCCAAAATTCCCTGGTTTAATTTTGCTTTCATTTACCAACCTTCATTATACATCCACTGTTCAACATAAACACAAATGATTGTTAATGAATGCCTAATGCTATATTCATTAGAAAATCAGGTTAATGATTGGCAATGAATATCCAAGCTATTTTATTCTTTCAAGCTCTTTTTTTTTTTTTGGTTTGTTAATTACAATGCTTTTTTGTTTACAAAGAAATGCTACCTGTATTCTAGGCTTGCTTAAAAACTCAATGTAAAGCTTCTTTAAGAAATCATATAGCCCTGACACCTGACACCCTGACATCTGCTTCCTTTCTGCAGATATTTTCAAACTATCAGATTGAGTATATTCAGTTATTTATGTATCGCTCATGTGTCAAAAAAGTGGTCAAAAATTTTAGAGGTAAACACAGCCACAGAGCATGCGATTTTCTCGGGCTGTTGGCTACCACAAAGCCACGTGCTTTTGAGAACAGTAGTTTTGGGGCCACTGCAGTACACTGATGCTACCCACTCGAGCTGTTCACAACCTTCACTGCTCTGAGAATCTTCACTGCGAGAAGACCTGTGATAGAGCAAGGTAGAGTGAGACTCAAAAAAGTACTAGCACTTGGGACTGACCCCCAGGGTGAGGTTCCACAGTCAGTCTATCTGCTCCCTCTTCAGAAGACACCAGCTGTGTGAAAGTATGTGGGAAGAGTGCCTGCTGAGGAACCCACTCAGGTGGAGAACTGAGACACGTATCGTAAGCAGGCGGATGCTGCACCTGCTGATTCTTTTGTAAAGTGATGTTCCTTCCTTTCCCTGCAGACACGGAGTTGCTTTTCCAAAGTAGATTTTGGAGACCGCATTATGTGAGACAGGTTTGTGGGGTGAAGCATTGTGTCCACACTTTCGTTATCATATGGTTGTTTTATCTTGAAGAGCTTCCTCCTGCATCAAATGCAGATGTTGATAATTTAGGATGTTGGTAAATTAGGATTGTTAGACTTTGGGACTCCTTTTGGGATCTTAAGCAATGTGTGTGTGTGTGTGTGTGTGTGTGTGTGTGTGTGTGTCCTTTAAATCCTTGGTTTGATGCTTATCAGGTGCACGGTATAGAGTTGGGCTAGGGATGAAATGCAAAGGCGTGTTTCCTTCGTTTCATGGCTGGAGAAATCTGTGTGGCCCACGTGCTGCAACGTAAAAGCTGCATTTGTGATACAGTTTTTTCCAGTTACAGTACGTGGACATCTTTTTACCCCCCTCAATTATTTCCACCGGCTTCTAGCAATTTTAACTTTTTTTCTGTCACTTGGAGCCACTTTCTTGCTACCTCCCTCAGAGTTGGGCACTTGGTGTTCTAGAAGTCATTGCCTCTTCCAGTTTGCTCTACTTGAGAGTCTAGTGTCTGTCCACGTCTACATAATCCAGACTCTTAGGCTGCACACAATCTGTCCTTCATAACTGTTGTTGATATCTTGCTCGATGTGACTCTTTGGAATCCTAGTATTTTTGAGAACATGGTAATAGTGCAGTTATCCTTGCTTTCCTGACAAGTGGTATTTTATTTTTTCTGGACACTTGAGAGTAAGAGTTGTGATTTGGGCACCACATTGTCCTTTTAGCACTCTGGACACTATCAGATCCTTGGTGAGCAAATAGTCACTGTTTGAATGAAGCAGCATCTGCATCTAAAAATCATTCCAGAAATGGAAGTTTAATGGTGTGAGAACTCCTGAAGTGACTATCAAATGCTTTGTTTCGAATCTTTCAGAAATCTCCTTTCTATGTTCCCATTGTGAGCAGTGCGACCCTCTGGGAGAGAAGCAAATTGCGTGCAAATGTGAGTAAGCAGAGTGGTGCTGGGCAGGGCTGCCACAGCATCGACCTCTGGGGCTCTGGGGCTTACTACACAACGACGTGAATAAGCGGAGTGGTGCTGTGCAGGCAAGCTGCCATGGCATTACCGTTAATACAGAGCGTCTGTCCCTTTTTATGGTTAAACTTTATAATGGGTAAAGGAGGCATTTTTAAAAAACATTTTCAAATAAGAAGGATAGTAAAAGACATTTCCCATAGAATGTTGAGTCCCTGTCTGAAAATTACCCTATCTCTTTAATTCTTTACATACAGATATGTACACTTAAAAAAACTGTATCACACACTCTGAAAGCAAGAAGAGACAGCACAGTGCATCAAAAATTTTTGCTGTGACTGTGGCACGACACACAGAAAGAACAGCTTCATCTTACCTTTGTCTGTGTCCATCAAGACACAAGCTTCTTCTCCATCCCACCTTCTACCCTGTGGTTGTTAAAGATCTCTTGCTGAGAGGCGAAGTGAATGTTTATCCCTACCTTGTGCAAATGCATCTCTACAAATGACTAGGATGTGCACATGGTGATGGTCGCCATGGCTGGCCAGTCCAGTTGTCATGGAGCTGTGGAGGTGTCCCAGATATAGTCCCATCAGAGCTCTGTTTACAAAAGCAGACTTGGGGAAAAGAGAATCTTTTAGCCAACACCGAAATTTACTTCAAAGGACTCTAATTATCTTCATTTCCCTCTTACTTGCCCTGAGGGAAACTGCAGACAGGATCACTTAGCCCAGTCACAAATAAAGTCCCCAGTCTGTGGTAAAGGGGTGATTCTAAGTTAGGAAGTTTTATCTTATGCAATCTTCCTTTTTCCAAAATTTGTGCGCAGAATTGTCTCAAATTACTGCTTGCAGAAAAATAACATATGGTGAGTAGAAATAAATTTCAAGAGTGGAAATCAAGAGATCTGGAAAATCACATTTTAAGATTAAAGAAAAAGGCCAGCTGGAGGAAAGATAGAAAACATAACCTGGTTTTCTAACTGTTCCTACACTAAACCAGAGGAGTATGTCTAAATAAGCCACCTGCAACTTGCTGCTTCATTAGCTACTTTTCCATTTAGAAATTAAGTAATTGGCTTTTTAAGAATCTATGCAATGAAGAGATCCCTGCCTCCCTACCTGGACTGGAGAAAGAAGGCCGCTCTGATGTCCCTTATAATGTGGCTTTCAGAAGGCAAAGCTTCCTGATAGGGGACCACAGACCTGCACTCTGCAAGGAGTGGTACAGCTGACAAGCGTGTAAAGACACAGTGATAGAATGCTTCCCAGCTTTCTCATAAGCCTCATCTGGTGGCTGAAGTGAGGGCTGAAGAGCGAATGAAGTCTCCTGTGAGGTTAGAGGTGTAGCAGTTGGGTCCTCATTCAGCATTTTCATTTTGTTTCTTGCTCTCTCTTTTGCCTTTCTTCCTCCCAATTTATTTGCTTGTTTGAAAGGCAGAATTACAAAGAGAAAGAGGGAGGAGAGAACTAGAGAATCTTACATCCGTTGATTCACTCCCAGCCTGGAAACCAGGAACCAGAAACTCCACCTGGGTCTCCCACACAAGTATCAAGGGGCTGAAGCATTGGGATCATCTTTCATTGTTCTCCCAAGTACATTAGCAGGGAACTATATTGGAAGTGGAGCATCCAGGAGTTAAACTGTAGCTGGCAGAAGCTTAACTCACTGTACTACAATGCCAGTTCTTTTATACCTGGTCTCGTCCCAACTTTTTTCTCTCTCTTCTTTTTTTTGTATTGGTGTGGTTTTCAAGGAATTATAAAAATAGGACAAAAAAGATTGCAGATATGTATCTTAAAAATATTCTGTGTCATTTTTATAGCATATATTATAACTGTATATGATATATCATATATTATTATTTTATACTGTACAGTTCTTTTCTTATAGTGTAGCTCAAACATCATCTGTTAGAAGTTACAGTTATATATCAAATGACCTATATCATGTGTGTGTGGCTTTGTGTATATTCCAATATCACACCATATATATTGTGCTTGTTGTCCTTCTAACAATGGTGAGAGGGTTGACTTAAAGTAGCAGTAAAGAAGCCTATTACATAGTGAAAATTACGTATAATGGAAAGTTAGAAATTAAATAAATAACAGCTTCAGGTGGTGCAAACCAGGTGAAGTCTGGCTGTCAGCTTGAGACAGACTGAACTTACTACATTAAAGAAGAGAAGGAGTGTCCCTACAGTTCAATGGCATGAACAGGATTCTGCTCCTACAGAGCTTTATGGCCAATGGGTCGTTTCCTCTGTTTGCAAGATTGAAGCCATATTTATTTTATAGTAAGGAATGAAAAGAACCTGTTCCATTCCTTTAAGAAATTCACTGGCTGGATGACTTATGGGAGGCCATGAGTCCTATTAGAAAGTTACTCAAATGTTCCAAAGAGAGGGGTTAGAGACTGGAACTATTTTGGGATTAGATGGGTGGGAGGTATGTGGTTAGATTTTATAAATATTTTTTGGAGATGGAGCTGATATGATATCATAATGGATTGGATGTGGGATGTGAAGAAGAGGATGATCAGGAAGGAATTTCACATTTTCAGACTGAAGAAACAAGAGTGGGTGCTGGGGCTTTTAAGAGCAAATTTCTAGGGTCTAGCATGATAACTCAACTGGCTAATCCTCCACCTGAAAACACCAGCATCCCATATGGGCACCGGTTCATATTCCATATATTCCACTTCCCATCCAGCCCCTTGCTAACAGCCTGGGAAAGCAGTGGAGGATGATCCAAAGCCTTGGGACCCTGTGCCCATGTGGGAGACCTGGAAGAAGCTCCTGGCTCTTGGCTTCAGATCAGCTCAGCTCTGGTTGTTGTGACCATTTTGGGGGAGTGAACCAGCAGATAGAATATCTTTCTGTCTCTTCTCTATGCAAATCGGCTATTTCAATAAAAACAAGACTTAAAAAAACCAGAGTGAACAGATTGGTGGTGGAGCTGATCAATGGTTGTGTTTTTGAGAGTGTTGTTTTAGGTGGTTAGTGTTTAACACTGCTTTTGTTATAACTTTGTCTTGCATTCAAACCTAATTACAAAGGAAGCTGGGGAACATGGTCTGTTACCTGGGCACATTGCCACTTCAGATTCAGGGTACTGTTAAAAGAATGCAGTGAGACTGTATGTCAGGGTAATAAAATAGAGTTATTTACTAAAGGACTCAGTAATAATTGTAAGAGCCAAGAATATTGTCACTTAAAAATTACTTCTAAATTACTCATGGCTTAAGGGAGAAATGATGATGGAAAGGACAGAACATTCAAAACTGAATGGTAATACTAAAGAAAATAGGATGTAGCTCGAGTGGTCATAGAGGTGAATTTGTACCTTAAATTTTGAAATACAGAAAAATAGAGGCTGAAAATTAAAGGACTATTAACTTGAGGGATAAATCCAAAGCAAGCAAAAAGTAGGAAGTAATATACAGGGGGAATCCCAAAATAAAACACAAAAATACTACCAGAGATAATCGGCAGGATCAATTACTGGAGGAATGAATAAAATAAACGAATCTAACAAGATTGATCATGAAAAAAAATTTAAAAAATGAGTGAAAAGAGAAACATCAGGACTGATACAGTGATAGAGTGAAGGAAGAAAATCAAGAGTCAGCACTATATAGAAGTCATGATTGCATTAACTGATTATTTTCATCTAGCACAAAATATTGTGACCAGATGTGCCTAGTTTTTCCACATTAGCCAATTCTTTGACACCTGATGGGTGTCTTGAAATAATTCCATTCCATTTGGACAGTAACTGATAACAAGTTAAAGACTCAGGTCCATAAACTGCCTTTGGCTTCGGAGGCCAGTTGCAAGTTCCAAGTTGTTAGCTATACTTCTAATTGGTGACTGTACGTTGGGGTTTCCTTGGCTGTGTTCTTGAATTTGGTAATTTGCTAAAATGGTTCACATAACTCAGTAAATGCCTGCTTATCATGAAAAGCATGACAAATTATACAGATGAGCAGATACAGAAGGCAAGGGATTGGGGAAGAGGCATGCAGCTTCTGTGTCTGTCTGTCTGCGCATCCTGTCTCCCAGCATCTCTAAGTGTTTAGAAAAGTTGGCAGCTCTCCAAACACCACAAGTTAGAGAGTTGTACAGGGTAGAGGGTGAGGTTGAAAGCTCTAAACTTCCAATCGTGGCTTGGTATGTCTAGTCACCAGGATCCATCCAGAAGCTAATAGAGTTGCTTTGCTATAACCAAAGACTCTCATTCTAAACGATTAGAAGTCAAAAACACATTTCTTATTATATCATAATATCTTATATGCCACAAATTAAAGGCAATGTTGAGCCAGTATTCAGTAATTTCTACTGTGACAAAGATAGCATGCTATGCACTTTATGTAACTGCTTCATTAAAATTTCAAACGCCAGATACTCTTTATATAGAGAAAGAGAAAATACATCCAATTAACTTATTGTGATCAGGAAAACTTGTGGGATAGACAGTGAAGTTGCTGTCAGCCATGCTGGTTGCTGCCTGATACTCTAATTCCAATTCAGTTCCTTGTTAATATCCTAGAAAAGCAGTAGAAGATGACCCGAGAGTTTGGATCAATAAGACATTAACACTAAAAAATAAGGTATCAGGTGGTGAAAGGTAAAACCACTTACTATGGAAAAATTGACTTGTGGGAATAAAAATGGCAGTATTTATTATGTATCTTGAGAACCCAAGATTATCTCCAGATTATTAAATCATAAATGATTTAAAAATATAATTTAGTTTGGAATAATTCTAACCAAAAGAACATAAGACATAGGGAGAAATGGATAAAATGTTATTTAGGGATGCAACAAAGAGGCCGAATAAATGAAGAGATGCAACCTAATCAGAGAGAAATGTGGTGCTTTTAAAGCAAAAAAGCTGATCTTACAAGTTACATGGAAGATCAAGAACTAAGAGCAGATACAACAATTATGAAGAACAAATTATGGA